GTGTGTGTGTGCATGGATGTGTAAGTGTGTGTGTGCATGGACGTGTAAGTGTGTGTGTGCATGGACGTGTACGTGTGTGTGTGGACGTGTAAGTGTGTGTGTGCATGGACGTGTAACTGTGTGTGTGTGTATGGACATGTAAGCATGTGCAGGTGTGTGAATATTCGTGCATGTGAGTGTGAAAAGGGTGTGGGTGTAAGCATACCTTGAGAATGGGCCAGGAGGAAGGGAGGCAGAGGGACTCTGGGACAGAATTTCCTGGCAAATTTTCAATTCATCTCACGGCAGCGCACCTGTCACCACAGAACATGTGAAATGCCAGGTTTCAAAGCCTCGCATCCTAAAGAGGTGAGAAAGACACACTGACTCTCAATATAGCTACTTTCACAGGCTGCCACACTACCTACGTCCCTGCTTGTCACCTCCCCGGAGGGCTGCAGGGATCCGTGTTGGTCTAATCTGGCTGTCATGTGGCATGTTGAGCGAGCTATTGTCCAGTCTCTGCTGTGAAGGAAGCCCGGAGGACCACAGAGGAAGGACCGGCCAGGTTACAGCTTGGGCAAGGCTGACATTGGAAGCAACATTCTCACTGTGTCTCCAGGGTCTGCTGGGCTGACACTCCCCCAGGGCACATCCCCACCAGCCTGAGCTTCACCTAAAAGCCTCGCAAAGGGCAGTTTTATCCAAGTGACTAGGGTGGGGAGCCAGGTGGTTCCTCCCACTTCCCAACCTTACTTCCTAAGTATCCGCCCCCCAGCCCCTTCCAAGGACAGAAGGGTCTCACAACCAGTCTAAGAACAGAAGGAAAGCCCCAAAGGAAGACTGTTGGACTCAAGATCGCCCCCTGGTGGACAACAGGAGGTCGTGGCCAAGAGTGTCAGGTGTCATGGGAGATCAAAGGGTGGAACTGGACGAAGACCAGATATATCAGAAAACGTTATCAGCACCTTTGAGAACGTCTGAGCAGAACTAAGAGGAAACTCAATCCCTGTAACCTGGCTGCTAAAATGCCAGGGAGTTAACAAGCTTGTCAATACCATTTGACAATTCTGACTCATGGAGACCCAATGTGCGTCAGAGTGGAACTGCGTCCAAAGGGTTTTCAGTGGCTGATTTTTCAGAAGGGAGATCGCAACGTCTTTCTTCTGAGGCTCCTCTAGGTAGATTCAAACTTCAGAGTGTTCAGTTAGCAGCCAAGCATGATAACCATTCATGTCACTCAGTGTATCAATTAAAACACAACTAGAAAAGCAGGAGGAACATGTGTTGTGTGTGTCTGTCTGTCTGTCTGTCTGAAAGGAGCCAGAGTGCTATTTGAAGACAAAAGGGAAGAAGCCCACAGAAAGGCAAAGACTTAGGAACTCACACTGGAGGGGCATTTGGAGTGGAGCCTACTCTCTGAGAACATACTGAAATGCTGAGCACGTGGCCTCACCCCGACCACACCCACGCCCCCACCCACCCCAGCCCGACAGTGGACCCGAGGCTGCAGTGAATGGTAGCCTGAGTGCTCTTCTCCGGTCCTACTCTTAGCCCATGGCCCCAGGGAGCCCATGGTCTGCAGATTAGAAACCAGTCCTTGGGAATCAGAGCTCTGGAACTTGAACTTGTGGCTCTTGTGAGGATTCTTCCAGAGACGCCCAATCCCAGGCTGTGGTCAGACCCTCAGGGGCTGTTGGGGAAAGCAGGTCATGGTCCTGTGACCAATCGTCCCGGCCACTGCAGGAGGGCCCTGGCATCAAGGCCCTGGCTGCCTGGTGTTCGGGTGGTGCTGTGGGGCAGCTGGCCAGCTGTCCGGCAGGGCAAAGGTGAAGTGTTGTTTTTCTGGGCAGAGGAGAGATATTGTTTCCAAGTCAGAAAAGTTCAAGGTCGTCCTGACACAGATGCCTGGGAGATGTTTCCAGCATGTTCACACTGAAGTGGTATGTCTGAGATGTTCCATTTGTCTAAGAAGTGCAGGGATTCAGAAATTAAGGGCGGACTTCCCTGAGCGTAAAATCAATGCAAACAAACCCAGGTGGCCTGGCATCCCACTAGGAGTGCTCAGTTGGACAGGCAGAGGACAGACAGACTGACCTTGCAGCCTTCCTCTTGGTCTCCTGCCAGAGAAGGTCCTGGTTGCCATTAACTCGATTCATACTGCTGGTGACCCTGCATGTGACAGAGCAGAACAGAATTCCATGGAGTTTTCTTGGATCTAATCTTTACAGAAGCAGATTGCCAGTCCTTTCTTCCTCGGCACACATGGCTAGGTTCAAACCATCAACCTTTAGGTCAGTAGTTGAGTACTAACCATTTGTGCCACCCAGGGAAGCTAGAAATGGGAAAATGGCTTGTTCAGCAGTGCAGTTTGTACTATTCTGCACCACTCAGCTTCTATCTTAGCTCACGTTTTTCTCCAATGTATGAGCTTGGCTTCTGGGTTATCAGAGGTGGGGAGGGAGAGGAGTAGTGGGTTGGCGTCAGGTGCTAGGCATCAGCTTCTGGGCAGCGAGAAACCTACTAGGCTTTTTATTAATGCAGTACCACCTGACTTACGCAGGGAAAGGGAACGTTCAAAATGCCCCATCACTCAGGGTGTGACCTCCATGGTTTCTGTCAGCGAATGGAGGCATCAGATCACAGCTACAGAATCAATGTTCTTGGAGCCACACAACCCTCCTTTTCTGAGGTGTTCCTCCTCTGTACACATAAACACATTGCCCTAACTTTCTTCCCTTGTATTTCTAGTTGTCAATTTCCTCCCCTATGGATAGTTCTTTAAAAGAGCACCGTGTTCCCAGCAGGCATTGTATGCATGTGAAGCTAAACCATAATTTGGTTTATAGAAGCCTTCAGGGAATATTATTAGTTTAAGTTTAGAGATGATTTCAGGGCAGTAACTTGGGAGGTTCCTCCAGCCATGAGAATTTGAAATTCTGTTCTGTATCTTTCCCCCTTTTGATCAGGGAAATCAATTCTTCTATAGATTGACCAGCTTTCTTGGTAGATGTTGTTTGTTTCCTTTCCAGGGAGAGACTTGAGGGACTGAGAATTTGTCTTCCCAATGAGGATACTATTATACCACAGTCAGTATCTGAAAGCATGCTCATAGACAGGCTAAGTGTTCAATGTCTCAGCCGAAAGGGATAGTCACTGAGGCTGGTCTCAAGCAGATGGTTGGCCTGGTCCCCTCTAGAACCTGCTGGAGACAGTGACCCAGAGCTTGCCTGTGGGGAGCAGAGCAGATGTCCCAGGAGAGCACGCTTCAGTAGGAGAACTACTCAGAGGGTTGTGTGCTGATCCTGTCACTTGCATCAACTTGTTTGGTTTCCTTGACCTCTCAGTCAAAATCCTTCAGTTATAAATTGGAGGGTCCAACTCCCTCCTCACATATTGACATGGTTAGGTGCCAAAGACAAGGTTGTTATGCGGAAATTGGTGGTAGGCAAAAGCAGAGGATTACTACATCAAGTCATGCAATGGAAGATGACTGCTAGATGACATCATTGCATATGTTGTTGTTTGGTGCCGTTAGTAGGTTCCAACTCATAGTGACCTAACTCATAGTAACCCGATGCACAACTTATAGTGACCCAACTCATAGTGACCTGATGCATAACAGAGCGAAACACTGCTGATCTCTGTGCCAACCTCTCAATCATCATTGTTTGAGCCCATTGCTGCTGCCACTGTGTCAATCCATCTTGTTGGTGAGCTTCTTCTTTTTCAAGGACTTTACCAAACATGATGGTCTTCTCTAGGGGCTGGTCCCTCCTGGTCACATGTCCGAAGTATGTAAGACAGAGACTTGCCATCCTCCCTTCTACGCAGCATTCTGGCTGTACTTCTTCTAAGAAGAGAGTTATTTGTTCTTCTGGCTGTCCTTGGTACTTTAAATATTCTTCACCAACACCACGGTTCAAATGCATCGGTTCTTTCCTGGTCTTCTTTATTCATTATCTATGAGGTTGGCTTCAAAAAGTTTATGGAAAAAAATGGAATTGAAAGACAAATGGAATTTTCCCATAAACTTTCTGAAGTCCCCTGGTAATCCCCAAGTCACAGAGAATCACAGCCCAGCCAAGCTGACACATAACCATAACCTACACAGTCTGTATTTGTCTCACTTTGCACCTCTGTGTTCATTACTGCCAAAGTATGTTGCTAACCTGCAAAATATTTGGTTACTAGAGTTTTCACTATGGTCATAAATGCAAAGTGCCAGATGACGAGATGGTTGAGGAGTAGGTGTTACGTCCCTCAGCTCCAAAGCTCTAGAACTCCTTTATCAAGAACCTTTGTGTGGGGTGGGGTTGAGGGTGGCTCTTAGCCCTCCAGAAAGTCTTCTAATCTTTATAGAGATGGCCCAGCTCTAGTCATTATGACTAAAAATAAAAGCTACTAAGATGCTCCATCACTGGAGCATTTGGAACATTTGGACAATCCAGGCCTTTGATCTTTACTGTGCCAATGGGCCTTTTAAAAATGCTTTTTAAAAAATTGTAACAAATACATAGAAAACAAAACATTAGCCTCATCAACAGTGTTCACACGCATAGTTTAGGTAATTCGAGCATCGTCATTAACCATTCCAGGATTTTCCCATTACTCCTAAGCATCATATTTTCCTTCCCTTTACCTACAGCCCGCCCCCAGTGACTACAAGTAAACTTTTGATCTCTACATACATGTCTGGTCTAGGTAGTTCATATACATGAGAGCATACAATATTTGTCCTTTTTTATTGATTGTAAAGACATAGATAAATCAAATGTTCATTCATTGTTCTTTTGTGACTGACGTATTTCACTCAACACTGCCAATAGGTCTGTACCCTCACTAAGTTCCACAGGTTTTGTTTTTCTTTAACTGATAGTTGTGTCAACCACTGTGCCATTCTTGTTTAAATATGCTTAAGTAAACTTTCTGTGCCCTGTGAGTCCACCTTTCACATTTTTATTTCAAAACTAGTGAAGTGTTCTCTCTAAAACGTTGTTTTCCTTCCACCCAAACTCTAGGTACAAAGGATTTAAAGGCAACTGCCCCATGACCTTCATTGATCAGTTTAAAGCCCTACACCAGTGTAACAAGTATTGTAAGATGCTGGGACTCAAGTCCCTTCAAACCAACCACCAGAAACCCAAGAAGCCAAGCGTCCCTGGGAAAAGCAAAGTTCAGCCGAACCCCACCATGGTGAAGAAGACGGTGTCACAGACCCCAGCAGGAAAGACCTAGCAACCATTCGTAGAGAGTGGGTCCTTCCCAACACACCCGTCTTGTGAGTGAAACTGTGGGAGCACTCAGAAACCCCACAGTCCGCAGTGAGTGGGGTGACAATCTTTACCCCCACCCAACCATACTCCAAGATGCCTCCCACTGGTCTCCTGATGTCCCCACTGAAACGATTTCAGAACAGGACTTTCGACCAGACTCATTGAGAGACTGACTCAACCATCTGTCTCCAAGACGTCCACTGTTTGTGTTCACTCTCAGCATTTCCACCAGCCTCACGTTATGTGTCTGTATGTGTGTATTTGCATGTGGTTGTGTTGGCAAGGACTTGGTGCTGAACAGGGTCTGTTCACAACCCAAACCCTTTCCCATCTCGCCCCTCCTGGAGGGTCCTCTAGATGATGCATCTTCATTGTAGTAGACCTCCTCCACCTGTCTAGTCGTTACATTAGTATTGAGTATGCTGCTGTCGCCAGAGATGGTTCCCCAAGATGAAGACCACTTCCATTCAGTACCCCCCTCCAATGATCATACCCTGTTTAATTAAATTCATATTTAAACAAAAAGTACAAGGGTTCTGTTTTCCTTTAGAACTGGTGCCATATTTCAAGTTCCCCCAGGAATGCAGAGCAGTTATACTCTGCACACATTTGACAGAATGAACTTTACTGCAACTGACATGGACAACACCAAGGAGGCCCTGGGTGGAACAAAGAAATTTCCTTATGGGACCCCTGGGTGGTGCAAAGAGTTAATACGCTCAGTTGTTAACAGGAAATCTGGAGGTTCAAGCCCACCCAGAGGCACCTCAGAAAAAAGGTCCGGCAATCTTCTCCCAAAAAATCAGTCACTGAAAATCCTATGGCACGCAGTTCTACTCTGACACACATGGGGTCATCATGACATTTGCTAATTTCATAATTAAACTTGTTGTTGTTGTTAAGTGCCTTCAAATTGGTTCCAACTCATAACAACCCTATGTAGGGTTTCCAAGGAGTGGCTGGTGGGTTTGAACCACCAACCTTGCGATTAGCAGTCCAATGCATACCCGTAGCTCCATACAAGGAGTCTTCATCTTATCCAGATGCCACACTCTTCTCCATCTAATCCAATTTCTTGGATTATTTGCTCAACATACCAATTGAATAAGCACAACACTGGTACACATCTTTTCTGATTTTAAACCCTTCAATATCCCTTTGTTCTGTTCTAACGACTGCCTCATGGTCAATGTACAGGTTCTTCATGAGCACAATTAAGTGGTCTGGAATTCCCATTCTTCACAATATCATCCACAGTTTGTCGTGGTCTACACAACAAAACTCTTTGCATAGTCAATAAAACACAAGTAAACATCTTTCTCATATTCTCTGCTTTCAAGCAGGAGCCATCTGATGTCAGCAATGACATCCCTAATTCCACGACCTCCATAGAGACTCAGTGAAAGGCCAGTGTCCCTGCTCTATCAGGGGTTGAATCAGGACTTGTCTTCTGGGCAGGGAATAAATGTTTCCTCTTTATCGCTTCCTTTAAATTAAGGTATTGTGCTTACATATTGATATTACATACTTCTCTCCTTTGTTACCAGGGACTTCTGGTGGGATGGCGCATGGTTACTGACCATGAACGCCCACAGTCGCCACATGGTCAATTACTGAGTGGCTCTTTTGAATCAAGGATCTGTTGAAAAGTGAGAATAAATCATAGCTTAGAACTCCTGTCACCCAGATCTATCCATACCTAAATCCTACTACTGCTCAGACAATCCAATTAGGTGAGACAAAAAATTCATTTTTTGTAAAGCTAATTGAGGTTCGAGATGGGTTTCTCTTCCTAGCCCCGCCCCGCCCTCCCCACCAATCTGCCTTTACCACAGTGGACCTCTGTTTTTCGTCTGGATTCTACCACAGATTCACTGATTTCTTGTATAAACTTGAAAAGATACCTATTGTCTTTAGAGACAAATCCCTCCTGGTGACTTAGGCCATTGTTTTCTTCCTGCTCTAACCAAATAAAGAAAATACAGGCACAGCGGTTTCTCACAAGGCAATTGTTCAATTTTCCTCTGGGAAAATTTGTCCCTAGTTTTGGGTCCAATATAATTTTGTAGCACAAATCTCCTAAGTCATACAGCCATAAATATTCAAAGGAAACTTGTGAATGTATTTGGACTGGCAGTGGAAAGCCTCATATTTCTCCCATGGAATAATGACTGGGGGATTCAAACTGCTGATCTTTCAGTTAACAGCCCAACCCACAACTCTATTGTTGTTAAGTATCGTCAAGTCAGCTCAGACTCATAGCAGTCCTGTGTAGGGTTTCCAAAGCTCTAAATCTTTATGAAAGTAGAAAACCTTATGTTTTCCCCCAGAGTGGCTGGTGGAGTTAAACGGCTGGCCTTTTGGTCAACAGCCCAACCCATAAACCCTCTGCCATTGTTGTTAAGTGCTGTCAAGTTGGTTCCAACTCATAATGACCCTGTGCAGGGTTTCCAAGGAATAGCTAGTAGGTTTGAATCACCAAGCTTGTGATTAGCAGTTGAGTACTTACCTTAACTCTATGTTGTTGTTGCTAAGAAGTGCCATTGAATGAATTCTAACTCATAACGACCCTGTATAGGGTTTCCAAGGAGTGGCTGGTGAGTTTGAACCACCAACCTTTTGGTTAGCAGTCCAGTGCTTATCCTACAGCTCCACTCCAGGACTCCTATATTACTGTTGTTGTTAAGTGCTGTTGAGTTGGTTCCCACTCATAGTGACCCTGTATATGGGTTTCCAAGGAGCAGCTGGTGGGTTTGAACTGCTAACCTTGTCTGGTGCTGATCCTACACCACCACACCTCTAGTCCAGGACTCCTAGAGGTAGTCATAAATCTCAGTTTTGGCCAGTGAAATCTAAGTAGAAGTCTCTGAATGGGGTTTCCAGGTGAGTTCTTTAAAGATTGACTCATCCTGATCAAAAGGGGGTAAAATGTGGAACAGAACTTCAAATTTTGAGGAATCCAGACTTACTGGACCTACTGAGGCTGAAGGAGTCCTTACTACTGAGTTAGTCTTCAAACCTTGAATTATTCTCTGAATTTACCTTTAAATTAAGTCATCATAAAAAACTTATCTATGTAAGACCAAATGGACAGCAGTTATTTTCAAGCATTGATGAAAAGCCCAGAGCGCAGGGAGCCACAGTCAGTGGGAATGCAGCAACTAGAACAGAAACAAGAACCTAGCCACAATGTGAGGATTATAACCAGTATCACTGATCGTTATCTAGAACCTGTTAATGGGGAGGAGGCTTTGCTATGTAGATTTGCACCCAAAATAAAATAATAGTTTCAAAGGGGAAAGAGAGCTACCCTGTTTGGTCCTCATCCTTTGTGTTTTTACTTCCTGGAACATGAATGTGACCGCTGGAGCTCTAGTGACTATATTGTGACTATGAGGACAGGATCAACATCTAAAAGGAGCCCCAAATGAAGATATTGTGGAGTTGCTGCCCCATCCCTGGATTCTGTACTTTCAGATTTTGTATTAAAGGAGAGAAAAAGAAAGCTCCATTTTGCCTGAATCACTTGCTCCTAGATGCACACTTTTATGTCTTTTTTTTTTTTTTAAATAAAGTTCTCTCGGTTATTCAAAACATCTTTTTCTACGGCGGTACTCCATTTAGGCTGCACATTGGGGCGCTTTCAAAATGTTGACACCTGGGTCCTCCTTATAGTTTTTGTTGTTGTTGTTAAGTGCCGCTGAGTCAGTTCCGACTCATAGCAACCCTCTATAGGGTTTCTAAGGAGTGGCAGTTGGGTTTGAAGCACAAACCTTAAAGTTAGCACTCTGGTGTTTACCCTCCAGCACCACACCAGGACTCCTTCTCCTTAGAGATTCATGTGTAATTAGTCTGAGCATTGGGGGTTTTTTAAAGCTCTCAGGATGATTCTAATGTGCAGCCAAGGTTGACAGCACTCTGCTGTACGCTTTTCCAAGGCAAGAGGAATTGGTTGATTGATTCCCTCACTTGTTCTCTCATTAAACTCTAATGAGCTCGGCAGTGGGCCAGGCCTGCAGTCCAGTGGTTCTTAGTCACTTAAGAGCTTGTTAAAACTCAGGTTGCTGGTTCCACTCCCAGAGCTTTCTGGGGGTGGTCCAAATAATTTGCATGTGGCATTAACGACAATGACAAGACACACAGCTGTAACTCCTGAGGTGTGTTTTCTCTTGGCTCAGCCTTCTGTTGCTTTTACTGGATCTGCCTTTTATTATTGTTGTTAGGTGTTATCGAGTCAGTTCCAACTCAGAGCTACCCTACGCACAACAGAGTGAAACACTGCCCCGTCCTGAGCCATCCTCACAATTGTCATGTTTGAACCCAATGTTGCTGCTACTGTGTCAATTCATCTTGTTGGAGGTCTTCCTATTTTTGAGACCCTCTATTTGAATTATGGTGTTGGAGAAGAATATTTCAAGTACCACGAACTGCCAGAAAAACAAACCAACCTGTGTTGGAAGAAGTACAGCCACGATGCTCCTTAGAAACCAGAAAGGCGAGACTTTGTCTCTCATACTTTGGACATGTGATTAGGAGGGAGCTGGAGAAGAGCATCATGCTTGGTAAAGTGGAGGGTCAGCGAAAAAGAGGTAGATCCCCAATGAGATAGACTGGCACAGTGGCAGCAGCAATGGATTTAAGCATAACCACAATTGTGAGGCTGGTGTAGGATTGGGCAATGTTTTGTACTATTGTGCATAGTAGCGTCGCCATGAATCAGAGCAGACTTGATGGTATTTATCAACAACAACCACCTTACCAACATGATGCCCTTCCCCAGGGACTGGTCCCTCCTAACAACATGTCCAAAGAAGGAGAGATGAAGTCCAGCTATCCTGTCTTTTAAGGAGCATTCTGCTGTACTATTTCCAAGACAGATTTATTTGTTCTTCTGGCAGTCCATAGTACTTTCAATATCTTTCTCCATCACCATAATTCAAATAGAGGGTCACAAAAAATAGA